CGTCCCCCTTTGTAAACATCCGTCTACTGGAAGTAACAAGGTTGAGTCTGGTTTTCTGCCAAGGACCCTTGAGTGACCACGAAGACTCAGGTTTTTTTGCTTCAAAGAATCTGGAGACGCGGATCTGTCTGGCAATCCTGGGGAAGGGCCAGTCCCTCGTGGCAGCCAACGGGGTGGTGTCAGAACCACATGAAGGCCCCACCGCCATCTGTGTTCCGTAAACACACACCCGCGTGCGTGCAGGGCGAGCCAGAGCCCAGTGACAACCACGGCTGTGACAATTTCATAGAGCCCCCGTATCAGAGAGGACAGAGGTAATTAGGAAAATCATAAACATTTCTGGTGTCTTCTGTCCGGCCGCTGGGAGCTCCAAAGATGTTGCTTTCCAATCCGCAGTCACATTCAGGTTCCAGACACTTCTTAAAAGAAGTGTCCCAGTGGCTGGGGTCAGAGTGCATCTGATTTCTGGGGTGAATGTGATGGGCCCACTGCTGAGCTTAGTTCTGAAAGAATCCTGACCCCGCTCCCTGCTCTCTTCCTCCCTCTCCTCCACTTCCCTCTTCCCCGCCTCCCTCCGGAGCTGAAGCTCCCTCTCTTCACTTTCACTTTGGAGATGTGTGCCTGAAGCCTCCACTCAGAGGCTGACAGATGCTGAGAACTGGGCTCCCAAATATCGTGGGTTCATTTCCACCCCCTCCCTGTCAGCCCCTGTGCTGAGGGCAGAGAGCCAAGGGCAAGGAGAAAAAGATGAAACTCAACCTCGTGGCAGAGGTTGCCTGGGTGGTCAGGGTAAGGCCTCCCTGGGAGGAGGCAGTGTTCAGGGGACACCAAAGTGATGAGAAAGATCCAGGCGCTCAGAGGACTTCTCTGAGAAGTAGAGAAACAGAGCAAAGTCCAGGGAAAGGCCAGGAGCTGGGATGGTAGTGGCGAGGGGGACGGGGCAGAAGATGAAGCCGAGAGCCAGGCGGAGACCAGCCCACTGGTAGCTTTGGAGTGGAGCTGCCCCGTATCCCACTGACAGCATCCCACCGACACGAAGGAGCCCTCGTTTACCTGGTTTCCTCCTGCTGTTCCAGCACAATTGTTTATAGCACCCCCTTGACTCACAAAGTACCCCTGCTTATTCAGTAAATGACACAGTCGCCTTCCTTACAGGATAGAGCAAAGAAATCTAGGTTTTTCATATTTTAATGGCCATGGGAAGCCATCAGAGGATCTCAAGCAGGGGAGGGACCGAATCCAAGCCTTTTCCTCATTCACCAAATATTTAACCGCACTGTCCTCCTTGGCTCTGGGGCACAGGACTGAGCCCCACTTGGCAGACCTGCCCTCATGGAGTTTACATCCCACTGTTAGAAATGCTAACACATGTCTAACAAAAGGAACGAACTCTCCACCGTTGGTGCCCTCGACAACTGGAGGTGCCCATTGGACAGATGGAAAGATGAAGTCAAAGGAGTATCTTGCTGGTTGGTTTTCTACATGTAATCACTGGAAAATCCTAAGCTATATTCCATGAAGTCTGCTCCCAGATTTGCCCCTGCGGAAGGTTTCCATGGGGAACTACTTGTAATATAGCTTGCCCTTGCCTCCCCTTTCACCCACATACCTAGGTTTCCATGGTTGGTGAGGCTGGCCGTATGTGGTTTGCACTGACTGGGCCCTCACTCCAGGCTGGTCCTTAGCTCTAGGTAACAGGCTTACAAACGCTCACAGAATCCTAGCTTGAGTGGTCTAAGTAGAAAGGAGCATTTGATACTGGCACCTCTCACCCAAAATCCTGTGTCTGTGCCAGGCATGGAGCCAAGTGCAATGAGGAAGAGAAAACACGGCCAGATGTGTCTTCAGGCACAGCTGGATCCAGCAGGCTGATTGGGTCATCAAGAGTCCCCTCTCACTGCATTTCCTGATTTGCCATCCTTCATGCTGCCTTCAGTTTCCCTTAGTTCCCAGAGACCCGAAACCTCTAAACAAACACCCAGCAACCCAGAAGAGAGCTTTGAGTTTTTTATTAGTTCTGTCAAAAGTCCTCAGATTGGATTCTCGTGGACCATATTCTCCTCATTGAACCAGCTACTCTCTCCAGGAGGATGAATGACCCTAACTGGCCAATCCTGAGTCATGTTCTGACCCCTGCCACAGGCCCTCTGGGAGGAGGTCAGCCCCACTCACACTGCATGGGTTGAGAGTGGAAGAGCAGGCGGTGCACCAAGGAGAATCCAGGGGTTTGGAATGAGAGGAAATGAGGCAGGCAAGACAGCTCGGGCCCACTCTCCTCTGTCCCTGGGGGAATAGAGCTCAAGGACAGTGAGGCTGAGAGTGACTGAGGGTGACTCCTTGCTTCCAAACAAAAAGCAAATTCAGCTTCCCTGGGGGTGGAAGGTAGGGGGTGGGTTCTGGCATCAGCTGCTGTGACCCGGGCCCCAGATCCTCTCCTGACTTCTGCCCCACCTCAGGCTGCCAGCAGCTTCTTCCCACAGGCGGCACAGATCCTCTGGGCCCCAGGCTATCCGTGAGATCTGTGCCTCTAGCCCGTGGAGGCGGGACTGCAGGGTCCACACAGGGTGACAGGCAGCTGCCCCAGGAGAGGCTCCAGGCAGCGGCCTCACCTCCTGCTCCCACTCAACACCTACCTAGGATTGGAAGCGGCAAGCTGAGTCCTCTGGAGCCTCCCAGTCCTATTTCCCCATGGGCTGGTCACTCAGTCATTTCCGACTCTTTGCGACCCCATGGACTACAGCCCGCCAGGCTCCTCTGTCCATAGGATTCTCCAAGCAAGAATACTGGAGTGGGTTGCCATGAGAAGGGACCCCAGCCCTTCTCCAGGGGATCTTCCCAACATGGAATACCTCGATCCTAGCGTTTCTGAGCGCTTCCCAGGTGACTCAGTGATAAAGAACCCACCATCCGAGGCAGGAGACACATGGGTCCAATCCCTGCGTCAGGAAGATCCCCTGGAGAAGGAAATAGCAACCCACTGCAGTCTTCTTGCCTGGAGAATCCCAGGGACAGAGGAGCCTGGTGGGCTACAGTCCATGGGGTCACAAAGAGTCGGACAACGACTGAGCAACTTCACCACCACCACAACAAGCCTTTCTGAGACTTCCAACCCTCGGGCAGGAATTCTGCTTCCAGTCCCTGGGACCAGAGTTGGGGGAGGCCGGAGGAGCACAGTGATAGGTGGGGATGCTGACCATGTAAGGGAGGTTAGGAGAGGACTTCTGCCTTTCTGACCTTAAGAAGAACTTCCAAAGGAACAGGTTGCCCCTCACGCACCTTGTCACCTGTGCTCCCGGATGCTGCTTGATGGTGGGGAAGGAAGGTCTTTTTCATTGAGCACCAATGGCCTGCAGGTGCTTTTGTAAGTTCCTCAGCTGCTCTGAGGATGTTCCCACACCAGCCTGTCCAAGGGATGAGGGGTAGGAGGCTCCAGAGGTCCACTGGCCTTCAACCAGATTCTCTGACTATACATGGTGAAACCGGTGCCCACCACGAGGCCACCCTCTCCCAGCCTCCCTCCTGCCAAAGAGAACGGGCCGTGAGGTCAGGGAGGTAGAGTCTGAGGCCTGGGGGATGAGAAGGCAGGCCGTCAGAAGGGGCATGGCACTCATCTCCTCTGGGAGGGCGAGAGCCCCCAGCTCAGGAAGGGAGGGGGCACTGCGGCCCAGGCTGGCCCATGGGGAGCCCCGCCAGGGACCAGGAGGAGGGCCTCCTCTCAGTGTCTTCATGCCACAAGATGTAAAATAATCCCCTCGGCTCAGAAAAACACATTTTATGGCCGTCTGACTCATTTCCCACAAAGCTAGGTTTAACCCCCATTCCCCCCCCCACCACGTGTAGAGCTTTTGTTTTGAAAAATAAAAGTATGTTGAAAATTTCAAGATGACTTTTAGACATAAATTGTTCCCTTCCTCACCCCTGTCCCAGACCCCCCTCACCTAATTTCCCAAACGCTGGCTGCCAGAGCCTTGGGAGAACCCGGTCCAAGTGGGCATGGGGTGACTCTGGGCAACATGGCCCCCAGGTCCAGGCCAGGGGATGTCTGCTGGGCATGGAGATGGGCTGAGGGGCCCTCCAGGGAGGTGGGCCTCCTTGGCATCTGCTGCAGTGCCCTGATCCTTCTGGTTTGGGGTCCCCCCTGAGCCCGAACACCCACTCTAAGCCCTGCTGTATCTCCAGGCCCGGGCCCCTCTCCAGAGTTCCTAGGATGCAGGTAATATCTGGCTGGTTCCTCCCCTCCCCGAATCTCTAGGCCAAGGGTTGCTCCCAGGTGATCTCAGACACCCAGCTGGGACTCGCCCCAGCCCTCTCTGCTACGTGGCTCCTCCCGCGGCCAGCAAAGAGTGGTGCTGAGCCTGACTGCCCCTGGGGCCCCAAAACTGAAGCACAGGCCCATCTGTTCCCCCAGGTACATCAGGGCTTTCCATTACCCCACAGACGCCCTGGGGCTTGGCCTCCTGGTTCCCTGTTACTCTGCCATTCCTTTAATTTCCCAACGACCTCGGGCTGTGGGCATTGGTATCCCCATGTCTCAGGCAGGAAACAGAGTCCCAGACAGCACGTGACCCTCGTCAGCTGAGGAAAGCCTGAGGGCAGACGAGTGGGCAGCCTCACGGTTCCTGCTGACTTCCAGACAGCCGAGGGAGTGCACCAGGGTGGGAAGGGCATGGCTGGATGGAAGGCCCTTGGTTTCTGGCAGGTGGCACAGATATACCTAGAGAACACCCACCCCGAGAGTCAGCCTCCCCTCTTTGCCAGGCAACTAGCGCATTCAGGGCCCCCCACACAGCACTCAGGTGGCCGCCCACACCTTCCTGATCTTCCCACAGGGTGGCCTCTGGAAGCTTCCTAAGGTTTCCAAGGGATGGGCAGCAGCTTGTGGGCAGCAGGGGCACCCACCAGCCTGAGCTTCCATTGAACCGGTAGCTCAAGCCGGGCAGGAACCTGCCACTCTTGGGCCGAGCATCTCAGCCCATGGGCTCAGGCTCCTCAGATTCAGGATGACACAGAGCCACCCATTCCCCACTCTCAGTTGCAGCAAGCCTCCTTGGGGCCCGAGACTGTGGGTCAGTGGGCACCCAGAGCACACTCCCCCCCAGAGCTGCCCAATTCTCACCCATTGTAGCCCGCTGTCCACACTGGGGTGCTACCGGAGTTTCTGGTTCTCCAGGGCTCTGGGTTCCCACCCAGGAGCAGGAAGCAGCCGTGGGGGGCTGGAGTGTCTTACTGTCAAGGGCTCTGGGGAGAGGACCCTGGGATTAACCAGGGGCAGGCGTGGGGGGAGTGTGGATGGGGGTCCTCCAGGCTGACTGGGCCCTGAGCATCAGGGGAAGGGCCAGAGACGACCTGGACTTCCTTAACCACAAGAAAATGACTCAGCTAAATTGAGGAAGATTTCCGTTTCGGCAGACTACTTTTTCCACTATGGTAAGAGCTTTTTACCCACAGGCTCCAGAGGAGCTGATACCCCAGAGAGGGGCTTAGGGAGTTTCGATTTGAATAGTCAATGCTGATTCTTAATCATTATTTTGAAAAAGCAGCTTTTGGTTTTCCAGCAGGTGTCTGGGTCCTGGGGAGTGAAGCCAGGTGTGTGTGTGTGTGTGTGTATATACACAACTGCATGTTTGTGCCTTGAGGATACTGGGGCCCAGAATGAGGAGATCTAGTCAGGAGTTTTTCCCTTTGCCTGGAGACAGGTCTTGGCCAGGTCTGTAGAAATGACGAATTTTCTGGCCCTCTGAGCGTGTTGACCTGAATAGGACTAATGGCTCCATGGATAGAAGGGTAAGTTTGTGCCAGCCAGCAGGCTGGACACATGTGCATGTTATATGGGCACAACCCACTCCTGGAGGGAAAAGCAGAGTCAGATGCAAACCCAGGCAGCCGTAGTAGACACTGATCACCACCCCCACCTGTCCTTTCTCCAGCTGCTGGTATCTCCTGACATTTTCCAGGCTCATCTGCCTGCAGCTCATCAACCTGCAGCTCCGGACGCAGTCAGGGCTGAGGGCTTCCCAGCAAGGGTCCTGCTCAAACTCCAGCCAATCAATGATCAGAAGCTGGGCCCTGCCCTGGATTCTGAGATGTCAGGTCGGAGCATCTCCAATGCAGCCCTGGCTCTCAGTGACCAGCCCAGTCTTGAGGCCCAAGAATGGGAGGTGACTGCTAAGATCCCCCCAGAGCGGAGGGCCCAGCCCTGTTGCTGCAACGTCTAGCCTAACGAACATGATCAGGACAAGTCCTGGTCCAGGAGCTTGGTGAGGAAGAAGGCTGGTTGATCTGGGGTCCTCCCACTTCTGGTTCAGCCCAGGTGGGCTTCCTGGAGGTGGGTACCAGCAGGCTCTGGACTGAGTGACGGCACTGATCACAATAATGGTCTCCAGGACAGTGACTGCCCAGGCTGGAAGACGCTGCTCTCTACCCTCCCGCAGGAGGTCCCCTAGTCGGCTCCCGCCCCGGAAAGATCCACAGCCGAGAGAGGGCCCTTGTCTCCTACTCCCCCTTCTAGGAAAGGCTCTTCCCTGAGATCCCACTGAGAGGGACGACAGGGCCATGGCTGGCTGACCTCGATTCTGCTGGGAGCCGCCCCACATCTTGCTTCACCAGCTGGGCTCCGTTTCCCAACCTGGAGTGGAGTGGGGGTCCACTGCCTAGGCAAAAGCTTTGCCCTCTACTTGCTCCGGGAACCTCAGGGGACAGAGCTGGGCCTGGCCAGTGTGGCTCTGTGGCCAGCGCTCGGCTTCTGCCTGGGGCCAGGACACGTGTCCAGGCTCTGCGGCCTCCCCACGGCCCAGCCCGCTGGCCAGCCTCCCAGGGGAGGAACAGGGGCTGCCGAGGCTGGGGGAGGAGGCGAGGCGAGTGGCCCCCGCGGGTGCTGGCAGTTCCAGGACAAAGGGCAAGACGGTCTGGCCGGAGCAAGGGAGCAGGGCAGGGAGCAGCATGAAGATGAGAGCTGGGCGGAGTGGCCGAGGGGCCTGAGCCCAAGTCCTAGGCTCGGTTCCTCCCACGGGTGCCCCCCTGGGAGACAGAAGAGGAGAGCCAAGAATGGGGAAGGGGCTGAAATAGGCCAAGACTAAGGTAGGGGAAGGAAAAGGAACAGAAAAAGAGTATCAGAGGAACAGCTTAACGAGGAGGTCCCAGCGCTCGTAAGGAGATTTTCTCCAGGCCAGAGCCCAGGGGTCAGGCAGGAGCCTTGGAGGTGGGGCTCCCTGTTTATAGTCCTTGCTCCCTTCCACAGAGGCCCCGCACCTCCCCCTGTCCTGCAAGGCTCGCTCTAGATGGCCATCTGTGAGTGTGCCATCCACGGCTGTGTCCGTCATAGGCACGTATGTGGTGTACGTGTATGGTGCGTACCATGTGTCTGAAGCCCTCTGCCTCCAAGACGCTCAGCTGCCCAGAGTCTTGGGGACAGCCCAAGCATCAGGACAAGGCCTCTCTCTGAGTTCCGCCTCCTTGGTGGGGCTGAGTCTCTGCCCCTCCAGAGGCCCACCCAGGTGTCTCACCTGCCCTGCGGGGGGCACAGAGGAGGCAGCCCCTTCTCCTTGGGTTCCCCCTACGTAAGAGGTCCTTGGGCTCCCAGGAACCATGCAGCCCCAGGTGGAGGGGGCCTTACTGACCAGAGGCCTCTGAGTGACTCAGAGTCAGCTCCAGGCCTCTGCAAGGGACAGAAACTCAAAGACTCCCAGAGTGAGCCACAGAATGTGTGTGTCTCTGTGTGTGTGTGTGTGTGTGTGTGTGTATGCCTCCACACAGACATCAGGCACAAATGTTCATATTTGTCCCTTTGTTGGTGAGCTCCAGCCGGTTAGCCTCACCCATTTGTCCATCATCTCCTCACCCAGAACCTCCAGTGGCTCCCAAGACCCCAGGGTACCAAGCTCTCTGTCACTAACCAGGCCTGGCCCTTCCTTCATGCTAATTCCTCCCTCAAAGCCCTGGCTACAGCCAGGCTGGTTCCCTCATTGGCCCTTGTCTTCATTCACTTTTTCTATGCAGAAATTTAGAGGCATGTATATTTGCAGCTACTGTATGTTTATGGCACCTTCTCTGCATGGTCTGAGTCAGGTGTGAGAATGTGCAAATTGGGGACGAATCCCAATTTGCTCTGCTTTGAGCAGAAAGGAAATTCATCAGTTCTTGTGATGAAAAAGCCTGGGATGGTACTGACTTCAGGCACAGCTGGTTCTCAGCTGTGCAAATCTACGTCCCTCTCCCAGCCCTACTTCCCTCTGTGCTCCTCCACACCCACCCTTCCCACCCCCGACCCCCTACAGGCTCCCAGCAGGGCAGCCTCCAGGCTCACATTCCCCTGCTTTGCCACCTAGAGAAAAAAAAATGATATTTCCCAGTATTTCCAACAGAAGTCTCAGGGCTGACACCCATTGGGCAGGCCCAGGACACGTGACCAACTTCCGGAGGCCAGGACTGCCTGACCACGTGGTCGGAGAGTGGGAGAGAGCTGGTTCCCCAGAACAGCCCTAAAGGAAGGAAGTCGACGCTAGCAGCCAGGGACACCAGGGCTCAGATGACTGTATCCACGAGTGATGATCTGGGGCAGGGAGGGACATGCAATATTCCTGTCCTGGGTCTCACTCCAAGTCAGGATGCAGCCTAAAATCCTAGGGCTGGCAAGTCTGGGATTGGTATGCCATTGCTTGCAGTACATATGGGAAAACTGAGGCCCAGAGGGTCAGAGTCACACACAGTCAGTTAGGGCAGAGCCAGAGCTAGAACATAAGCCTTCTGACAGCTGATCCAGACTGTCTACACAGGAGCGTTCGATGCAGCCCAAGCTGCTTACTGTGTGCCTGGGAGAGTCTGACTTATTGGCCTGGGATGTCCATCCCAGATCACCTGGTCAGACCTGGGATGCTAGTCCCAAATGTCAGTGTTCACAAGCATCACATCACAGAAGGTTAGCACTGAACCCCCAGGTTGTGCTGTGGGTTCCAAGCTCAACGAGCCCCAGCAGTGCTGATGCAGGGGGCTGAGGCCGGGGCTGAGACATCCGTCAGTAAACCCTAGTCCAAGAAGAGGCCCCCTGCCTCAAAGGCCAGGAGCAGTGGGGAAAGGTGCTGAGAGACTGAGTGCTGGGACAGGAATAGGTGGTAGGCAGATCAGTGTGGGGGTCAGAGAGACCCAGACATCCAGACCACTAACCACTGCCCCAGCCTGCAGCTGGGGAGGGGGAGGGAGGCCTGGACCACGAGGCCAGAAGAGGTCAAGGGGCAGAGAGGCCGTGATGGGCCCAGCGGGCTGCAGCAGGTTGAGGACGCTTGGCCAGAAAGGCCTGTTTACTCAGAGGCCCACGAGGTCAAGGCCTGAGCCCGGGGTTAATTATTAACAGCCACCCGGCTTGTGGCTGCCCGGTGTGGTGGAGGCTGGAGACCAAGGCCCGGAACCGCGCCCCCAGGTCACCCTGTGCAAGGGGGGCCCCAGAGCGCTCTCCTTCCCTCGGCTTCCAAAGGCACCCCTAGTCACTCAGACACCCTCCTTCCCAACTCCGGCCAGAGTGAGGCCTGTTTTTCTGGCTGGGGACAGCCGTGGTGCCAGTATCTGTGGGTGACAGGCACCGGAGGCCTGAACTCACCGGGGGAGTGGACTGAAGGTGCTCCGGGGACCCCTAAAGGGGCCGTCACTTATGTTGACCCTGAGCAGGGATAGCTGAAGTCCTGGTCATCCCCAACGGTCCTAAACGAGCCAGGACAGGCGGCTCCCTGAGCCCTGGGGAAGCTTCCTCCCTCCCCACGGAGCAGGTGCTGACAGAGGCGCTGTAGCCAAATTAGCAGCTTTGGGGCTGCAAATCCCCGCTTTGTCCTGCAGATTAGGCTCTGCTACGGGGCTGGAGAAGGGAGCCCGAGGGGCCAGGGATGGCCGCCCACCTGTCCAGCCTCAGTCCAGCCTCCCTCCCGGAGCCCTACTCCCTTAGTCTCTTGCTCGTCCTCCCCAGCCCCCACCCCAGGCAGCCTGGCCCTCATCCGACCCCAGCCTTGCCCTCATCCGACCCCAGCCTTGCCCTCATCCAACCCAAGACACAGGTCCCACAGGGAGACTAGAGTGATGGGGCATGGTGGGGCAGATCAGCTCCCGCAGTGCCCCTCTTGGAAGGTGGATAGCAACACCTGGAGGGGATTTTGCTGAAGCCAGGGGCTGACTCAGCAGGTCCTCAACCCAGGACTCTGCCTTTCTCAGGAATGATGGAGGGGTCAAAGCTCCTGGTCCCCCCCAGGGAGGAAACACTTCAGAAGGGGGCCCCAAAAGGCAGAGCTCTCCTGGGACTTTTTACTCCCTCCTAGATTGAGACCATCAGCCTCAGAAGATTTTCATTTTTATCTGTGGAGGCTATGGTGGATGGGGCCTGTGGAGGGAGAAATGGGCAGGGAACCAGACGTCCTGGCCCCACCCCGTGGAGCCCCTGGAACAGCGGGTTCCCGGGGGCACTGGAGGTCCCCCTTCCCTCGCGCCATGCCCTCCCCTCCAGGCTGTAGAGGGGGCACCAGGCCCAGAGCCCCAGCGTGTATGGCCCCCTGAGCATGTGCAGAGCTTCCGGAAGGGCTTTAGGGCAAGTCCTCCAGGCTCGCTCCAGGCAAAGCATTTCTGTAGCTGCCTCTGGAAGCTCAGCCCAGACGGCCTTGGGCCCCAAGGAGCACTGCGCAGCCCAGACCCTTCAGCGTCCACTTCAGGATACAATTGTTCCCTTTTCAAGACACCACTTCTGCCCAAGCAGGAAATCCTGAACTAAGGCTGCCCGTCCCTCCCTGAGTCAACACTCGCTGAGAAGGAGGGTGGAGGAGAAGGGAAACAGGCCAGGGGACGCGGTTCGAGCCACGCCAGTCCCAGGAGTGCAGACCACACACACACACAAACACACACACTCACAGAGATATGCACACAGGTGCACACAGATCCTCCTCATGCGCTCAGTCACCCGTACACACGAAGACACCCTGCATACACAGGCACACAGGTACAGACACACCCATACCTCCTCACTGTTCACACCCACACACCCATGTACACTCAGAGTCTCACATGTACACACAGACACACACACCTGCCCGGGCCTTCCTGTCCCCAAGCTCCCACACACGCACACAGACCCAGACCCCCCCACCCCACCAACACCACTCCGCTTGTCCGGCGGCCTTCACCCTGTTTGGTGCCTCGCTTGAAGCCGCTAGCCACACGGCCCCCAAGAGCCCGCTCCTGGAAGCCTAGGAAGTCTGAGACCAGGACTGAGTACCTGAATCTCACTCAGGGTTCTGTCTTAGGGGGCAGATACCGCCCAGGGACATCCTGTCTCCCCTGCGGAAACAGGGGCCGGGAGGAGGAGAGGCGGCTGGGACCAGACTGGGGCTGGAGGTGCCCACTGCCCTCCCGTGGGAGAGGCACCCATCAGATGCAGATGGCTCTCTCATCAGACCAGACGCTCGCTTCCTGCAGGTCTGCCTGGCTAGAGAGACCCTGGAGCAGGGCTGTGCCTGGCTGTGCCCAGCAGTGAGTCCTCGACGTGGAGTGGCTGGCCGAACAGACAACAGCCGGGTGAAGGTGGAGAAGCTTCCGGGCCCAGGGAGACCCCTGCCACCCACCACCGAGCTCACTCCACAGCACTGAGATCCTGCCCACGGTTCCTGTCTCCAGAGCGGCAGGCGGGCAGCCCTGGGACATGCCCACACACGGCTCCCCGGCGGCCGCACGCCAAGCCAATGCCAGAGCCAGGCCAAGAGCAGGAGTCTCGGGGCCTGCCCACCGCCCACGTCCCGCCCAGCCTTCTGCGCCTGCTCCAGTGCAGGACCCAGCCCTGACCTCACCCCCCCAGAGCCCAGACTCCTATCCACACACCAGCCCCCCCCATTCACCTGGGGACAGGTGTCTTCCCCTGCAGCTCCCTCAGCAGCACCCAGGGCTCTTTGCAAATGTCAGTCTGGTCATGCTCCTGGCCTGGCCCCCAGAGGTGCTCCAGGCCCTGTATCTGCTGTCCTCCTCCCCACACTGTCCTTTTGGGTTCAGGGTGGCAAGGCCGCCTCCCTGTCCCCATACTTGTTGTTCTGCCCATCTCTCTGGGCTGGGTCTCAAGCAGCTTGCTCCTGCCCCGGGGTTCCCTCTGGGTCTTTGCTCGGCTGGGCCTTCTCCTCACTCAGGTTCGGGCTCTACTGCCTCCCACCCCAGGGACCCCCTCCTGAAGCAACCCCCAATCATTGCCCAGGGACATGCTGGCCACGCTCCCCTGTGCTGGACTCCCAGCTCCTATCGCTCTTAGCAATGGCCCTGTCCTTTGCCTCGCTTGTCCGTATCTGTCTTCTCTGCTGGATTGTCAGCCCCATGAACTAAGAACCTTGAAACCCGAAGGGGATCTGTCTGGAAGGTAGTGGATGGGAAGTGCGCCGATGGTTGTTGAGTGAATGAACGATGGACGCAGGGCAATACTGCACCCAAACTCATGAGTGTGGAATAGGGAGGGCCTCATGTCAGGTGTGGAGGTAGGCTTATAGGAGGCAAGCTGGGGCCGCCTGGTAGCCTCCTGGCTCACACCCCAAGGGCTGGCCCAGCCGAGTGGGCGAGGAGCCCCTCGAATCAGCTCCCCTGGGTTTACTGTGGTGGTGCACTCTGACAGGTCCTACTCCCGGAAGCTTTGGAATGTGTCCTCTGCCTGCCCAGACCGCCAGGTGCAGCCAGAACCCCCTCTCAGCCCCAAACCCCTCACCCACACACACAGCCACCTCGCCCTCCTCTGCCAAGCGGCTCCCTCGGCCCAGCAGTGCTGAGTGTCCATTAGAAGCTCCTAGGCACTTTCTAGGCTTCTCTCCACCATCTTGTGCAGCTCAAAGGTAGATGAGAGGCCCGGCCAGAGGTCAGAAAAATGAGGGTTGGGCAAGAGGTCAGTGGGACAGGTCAGGGGACAAGGGATCCGTCAGGTCTAATGAAGCCCAGACTCAGGAAGGGGGTTACTCTGAACCCAGAAGATAAGGGCTTAGTTAACTGGTTAGTTGGTTAGTTAGCCCCCTCATTCGTTTGGCCCCCCATTTGTTGAGCACATACCATGTTTGAGCGGGTGCCCCAAGGGACCACTGACCGGGTCAGTCTCACAGTGGGGAGGCTTGGTCTTCACCCTGGACCCTGGATCAGTCTACCACCAGCCCCAGTCCATAATACAGTCTGTGAGCGCATGATGTATACACTTCTTAAGGTTAGAAAAAATCAACAGAAAACCCATATTCCGTGACATATGAACACGATGTGAAATGCATAAAGTTTTATTGAAGCTCAGCACATCCTTTCACAAACACCCCATCTGTGGCTGCTCTCGTCCTGCAGTGGCAGCAGAATAGGAACCAAGCGGCCCAGAGAGCCTAAAAGATTTCCCATCTGACCTTTTACCAAAAAGATTTGCTGCTCGCTGCCCTAGACTCCCCACCCACCGTCTGACTGGCCGTGGGCAGGTCACCTCTGCCCCCAGCTCTCAGTCTCCCTCTCTCTTCTCTGAGGGGTGACGGTTCTTCCCTCAGGGACTTGCAGTGAGAACTCGGGGGTTTACAGCCTGTCACTGGCCCCCCACTTTTCCTTTCCTTTTTTCCTTTAAGGAACTGAGCGCTTGCAAATTCTGAGTCGGGCACAGGGCTGGTCTGACACCCAACACCTGCCCTTGAGGGACACACACCAGGAGGCATGGATACTGTGTAGCTAGGGGGTTCAGAGGAGGGCCAGGGAACCTGGCCTGGAGTGCAGAGAAGGCTCCTAGCGGGGTGCTACCCAGGCTAAGTCTTAACACATAGGAAGAAATTTGCTAGGGGGAAAGGAGCAGGGAAAAGCATCATGGGTGGAGGGAACAGCTTAAGCAAAGGTGCAGAGGCTGAGAAAGGGGCAGGCCGAGACCTGGTGGAGGTGGCACGAAGCCAGGTTATGCAGGGCTTTGGACCATCAGAGGTCACCCCTCATCGCTAGCCCCACCCCATCCCAACCTGGGTTTGGTTTCAGGCTGGCAGTGCATGTCAAGATCGGGCAGGGGAGGGGCATCCTCAGGACCTCACTCCCGGCACCCTGCCCATGGCCAGCAGTGCCACTGGAACAGGAACCACTAGTGGTCGGGGCCGGGGGGCTCAGCCTGGCAGGGTAGGGGCTGCAGGAGCTGCCTGGCCCTGCTCCTGGCCCGGGGCAGCCTCCAGAGTCCAGGGACCAGGCAGGCTGCCACAGGAGGGCAGCTGACAACAAAGGCCTATTCTTCACACTTTAAAAAAGCCTTCAAACCTGTCCAACTTTCCTTCATTAGATGCTCCGGGATGTTTCCCCTTAGGAGCCTGCTCGAGATAACCTGGCCGATAAACCCCTGATTCTCAGAGTCTTAATTATGGCCCCAAGACCTCCATGTAAACAAACAGCCATTGCTTGTTCTCTGCCTCCCCTCAGCACTCAGGGGAGCACAAGCCAGGTGCCAAGCAGGAACTGGGTGACCCCGGGCTCTTGAGTTCTCTACGCTGCCTTCCTGTGGGGCTGTCCCCAGGGAGCTGGGTGGCCAGGCCCTGAGTTTGATGCATGTCCCTGCACAGTGGCCACCGGTTTTGGGTCCCAGAGCCACAGCCTCCTGACCACATGGCCTCAGCCTGCTCATCCATGACAGTGACAGTCATCAGACAGTGAAGGAGACCCCTGACCCATAGCGAGTGCTCAGGAAATGTTGGACAGAACCTATAGTGAAGAGGCACTGTCCAGACCTTGGCCCCTGCCCCAGTCCCTGGGAGGAAGCTTCTAAATTCTCAGCTCCATCCCCACTCAGCTGGACGAACAGGGAGGTGGACATGAGCCCGGCCCCCAGCAGCTCTGCCCACATTCGCCCCCAAGCCCCATCCTAGGCCCAGGTGCTCACCAGGTGCCTGTGACTTCACGTTGCCAATGGATCAAGGTGGTCCAAGGTGGCAACTTGAGGACTGCCCTGGGTACCCTTCCTGGCACCTTCCCCCCATGTTCTGTGCAGTACCATGCCCCCCACCCTCACCTTAGTTATCCCCCAAGGAGTCACCCCGGGAGGGAAGCCCACCCTGTGCCCCCTAAGGGCAAGCTCCGGGACTTGGCAGGACACAACTCAGCCTCATTTGAGGAAGAGGCTCTGCTCAGCATGCAGGATGCATGGAGGGGGGATGGCGCCCCCCCTGCATGCTCACCCGGAGAGACCTGCACACACATACGTGTATGCACACCCCACTTGATCCCCAACCCCCCCACACACACACCAAGGCATGCACACACAAGGACACTCCCCAGGCCAGGCCTCAGCAGCTCAGCTCCTGGTGGGGCCATCTGCACGGGTGTGTGAGTGTGTGTGCCTCTGTGTGTGTGCGCTCGTGGGCCGATGTGCTGCTGCCCATGAAGTGTCTGCTGTGTCAAGTGCGAGTGTGCCTGGGAGGAAGCAGGAAGAAGAGGAGGGCAAGAAACCCTCTGGTCCTCTGTCTGAGGCAGGAAGGGGGCAAGAGTGACTGTGCAATGTCAGAGCAGCAGGGTCCGGCCACCGTGGCCTGGAGCAGGGTTCACCCCAGAAGCCCTGAGGAGCTGGGGAAGAAGCCTTGTCAGGGCTGAAGCGCTGGTCTCTGTGGGCCCTGCCACCCCCCGGGGGCACAGAGCCCCCCTCTCCTTCTCTGTCCATGTGCCTTGGTCTGGGGCGACCAGCCTCCCGCTGGGCCTCCAGCTGAGACCAGCAAGCCATTTTGAACCATAATGAGAAGAGGAAGTTCCTGAGGCCCCAAAACAGGAACAGGAAGCTGGGAGGGGGTGTAGGGATAGGGAACGGGGAAGGGGGACATGGGCACTCCGCTGATGCACACGGAGAGTCCCAGCCTTCCTGCACCCAGCCCGGCTGCCGCGTCTGTGTGCCTCCACCTGATCGCAATGCATGGGGCTCACCTGCCTGGCTGCCCCCACCCCAGAGCCAGGCTCCCTGAGGGGGTCCTCAGATGCTGGCCAGTTGTCCACCCGGGTGTGTTCAATCGTTCAGGCTCATCTGGTCCTGATCCAGAGGATTCCGTGGGTCTGCTCGAACCTTCCTGTCCAGCCAGGCACTGTGTCTGGCCACACCATCTCTCCCTGGCCCCAGCGTGTGGCCACGGGGGACTCTCCACTGTACTGGCCCACCACGTCTGTGTGACCACCTGACCACTCCCCTGACCAAGCACGCGAATAGCCGTCTCCCTGGCCGTGGATCTGATGACTCCTAGCCCCAGCCTGTTTTCTCAGCTGCCCTGCGGGACGTGGCAAGTCTCCAGCCACACCCTCACTTGGTAACAGGACACAGGACTGTCCTGGCCCCCACCTCAGCAGAGCGGGAAAAGCTGGGGTTCTGCCACCCAAACACCCCTGCCTCACCCCACACCCTGGGGTGGGAGGGCCTGGGGCCTTCGTCTCTCCTCCGCTTTGTGGGGTGGGAGATGGCGTGTCTGACAGCACCGTGCCCCTGACAGAGGGATGGCGGTGCGCGGCATCACATGCCACCCTCCAGAGCTGGGGAGTGTCCGGCTTGCACAGGGCCCAGGCGGAGGTGGGGGTGTGGAGGACAGGAGGGAGCATTCACTCGGGGAGCACACGGCTGCTCCTCCTCCCAGCTTTGGAGGGAGAGCCTGCAGAAAGACTCTGGGGCGAGTGGGCGGGGGCGGGAGCCGAGGGGCCCCAAAAGGCAGATGTCACCAATTTCAGTTCTGCCCCGGCCAGCCTGAGGCAGGCTGGGACTTCCCAGAGTGGAAGGATAAGCTGGGGGGCCAGGCCGCTTGGAGGCAGGGGGACCCCTTCCTCGCCCCAGCTGGGCGATGTCTGCAAAGGAAGCGATGGGAGTTCTGGGGATCCAGGGTGGGGTGGGTGGAGCTCCCTGGGGTCCCCACTCTCTCCCTGATCTGCCAGAGTAGGTCTCTCTGGTCCCCCATGAAAGTCAGCTCCAACCCAAGATCCTGGCAACAAAGGAAATTACTGGCCTTCTTGTCCCCACAGATGAAGGTTATAAAGGGCACACCTGCCCTCTTCCAGGATGAGAGAGGGGTGGGTGCCACGTGGACGCCTCTCCCCATGCCAAGGACCAAGCGGGAGCCACATGAGCCCCACCCCCAGTTGGCTCCATCATCTCAGCTCCTCGTGCTCATCCCCCAAAGAGGGAACACGGGGAGCAGGTGGGGTGGGCGGGTGAAGACCCCTGCCTCAGGCTCGACCCTCCCCTGGCTCACGGCACAGCCGGACGGGCGGTCAGCACCGGAGCCAGCAGGGAAACGGGCCCCCGGGCAGGGAACA